GAATCACCGTTGACAACTTTTATTTACATTTTTTGTTTATGAAAAATTTCATAATAATTATAATAGACAAAAAATATATAATTTTTGTGTTGTATGGTCGTTTAAATTATACATTATAATATTATCTTGTACGTCACGCGTATTTGATAAACCGATGACACACAGGACCGTCGAAGACATGTCTGTATTAAACAGTGAATTATCAACTGATGAACATAGTTTAATCGAGGATCCTGGTTCCGAATATCAAAACTCGGCCTACGGTTCTGGTTATGAATCGGTTGAGGACCCTGGTCCCGCTGGTCGCGGTTCGACCAAGTATCGCACTTATGGCCAACGCTCAATGAAAAACTACGATTCTGCTATAGGTCAATACTCAATCAAAAACCACGATTCTGCTGTAGGTCAAGACTCAATCAAAAACCACGATTCTGCTGTAGGTCAAGACTCGACCGAATATCATGGTTCCGTTGATCAAGACTTGGTCGAGGGCAACGACCAAAGTTTAGCAACTACAGCTTGTCTCGAAGGACTGGTCCGGACGGACGGTCACGGTCGACAGCTGGTCCTGTTGGACGGAAACACGGTTTACTGGCGTGGACATCAGTCTATGCCTACCGGAAAAGGCCGCGTGAAAGTGATGGCCGGTCACCGTGGTGGCCATTACCCCACGTTTGCACGTTACGTGGGCGCTGGAATGTTGGACGCCGCTGTTGCCGGCCTGGACCCTGGTCGACATCCAAACACCGGCCAAGTGCTGACGGCCATCCGGGAGCTGGACGACCGCTGTGGGGTACTGGTGCTGGTGGCCAGCGAGACGGAGGCCATCCTCAACTATGGCATCGCAGCCCAACAGGCCCGTACTCAGGGCATTAATGTCAAAGTAAACGATATTACCACTCAAATCCGGATTAAGGGGGACACGTCTTCGCCCCCCCCCCCCTAGCCAGATTATTACAGTTAAATCAAATAGCATTTTTAATACAATGTTAATGATTTTATTAGAATCATATAAATTATATTAAGCATATGACATCTAAAATCTAAATATAATTGAGTATTTTAAAAATTATTATTTGCGGGGCCTGGTGTTTAATCCGGGCTTTAACTATGTACCTACTATATATAGATATATTTACAGACTATACGTACCCCCTCAACACCTATTTTTCACAATATATAAAACTGAAAATGTTTTTGTAAAACGTATATACACACACATTTCTTTAATACACCCTATCTGCCATAAGAAATATATACGCCACTGTAAGAGTTACCTCTAGATTCTAAGCAATACAGTTAGATTTTCAAAAACACATCGATATTTTTGAAATGATTTCGATTATTTTTCTACATTTAGTTATCACATAACACAAACATGTTCAGTGGGGGCCCATTATCTTCTTGGAAAATAAATAAAAATAAAAACAATGAAATAATAAAATCTTAATGTTAAACATTTTTTTAAGAATAATAAATAATTAGTTTGAAATACGAATGAAATCGATCCTTTTTTTTTTAGCTATTGGCTGTCGGTGATGACCTTATCCGAAGTCGGTCGACGGATGGTGTCCGGAGACGTGGTTCTGCGGGCATAGTGTTGATATGCAAAATCGCTGGAGCCCTGGCGGCCGGCGGCCACACCCTGACAAAGATTTTTGCCGTATGTCAGCGCCTGTCTATGGACCGTGTAGCCACCGTAAACGCTGTGATTAGTTCAAGAAAGCGGACGTTAGGCGAAGACACTAGCACCGAGTATGTATATAATATTATGTATTTGCATGTAATTATATCACAACTTAAGTCCATTGTCACGACTCGAGTGCATTATTCCCATTGTCCGTGGCTCACTTCATCGTGTCATGTAGAGTTGTGTATAATAAAGAGTTACCTACTACAATTTTGTTGCCTGCATAAAACTTATATGGAACATGACACGACACGCGATGTGATGTAAGCCCCACAGCTTTATACTGCCTAATGCCTATATAGGTACCTAGTCACTAGTGAGTGTGTAATCTGCAGGATTAATTTATTCATACGTCTAGACTCCAGACCTAAATATTGGTATACTCCACATATAGTATACTTACTGAAAATCTTAGATAATAATATTGTTATATTTTAATTTAAAATAATAAACTTAAAGTAAATACGTTTCAAAAACAATTTTCTATCAAATTGATCTTTATAAATCAAAAATTGCATAAATACAACAATAATATTATATACTATACATACAAGCTGTCCCGCCCGGCATCGCCTGTGCCAAAGATTTGTAAAAAAATGTTTATGCCATACTTCTTCGAATAATTATAATTGTAATATAAAATGTAACCAATGTCAACCATAAACAAAAAAAGTTTTCTTTTTTCGTAAATTGGAGTTTACAAAATAAGCTATTAACACCCTCCAAGTCTCAAGGGATCTATTGATATAACTTATATTGAAAACTGTCCAGAAGTGTTTGAGTCTATTAACTTCAAATAACATCCAATAAAATAACTGTATAACCTGACTGTAAAAAAATAAAAATTACCAAATATATCCTATATAGGTAAAACTTTGTTTTAGTGAACCACAATTCACCGGAAAAATTGGGTCAGTGTACTTAACTTTGTAATCTAATTCTACTGAAGTCTGAGATTGATCATATGCTTATGGTGAATTGGATATAGCACTAGGTAGTTGGTATAAATCAAGCCTAACTAAAACTATTATCTAAACCTTCATGATGTTTCCAATAACAAATTTAAATGTTCACAAAATCGGTTTTGAGTATTTATAATATTATAAGCTACAAATATACATTCAAGTATTCAACTCTCGTATTTTTTTAAGATATAATTACTTTATTACTTAAACCATAAACGCAACGATTTTTTTAATGCATGCTTTTACCTCATCTACCCTAGTATAACCAATGGTAACCATTTATATACAACAAAAATACTAAATTCTACAAATTATTTCTCCTATTACTATTATAATCTGTAATCTGTAAGCCTGTAACCAATAATAACCAATGGTCTCAACGATCTGTTTGTGTCAAATTTTGCGCCTGCTAAATTGATAGGTAGATGATTCTACCTACATTCCTGGATTCGTGACGATAGGCATTCTAATGCATGACAACTAGTGTTTGAAGTATGAGAAATATTTCATGAAATATTTCAAATGAAATATTTCATTTTGAAATATTTCACTAAGTTGTGAAATATTTCACAAAAACGTGAAACATTGAAATTTTTTCAACACAAATAAAAACACAATTTATTTATTTTTTTAACACAATGCTCAGTGTTCTAAATTCTAATGTCAGAATTCAGTAAGTATACAATATACATGTATAATCTTGTATACCTACTTGTATCATTTAAACATTAAAATATTTAAAAATTTTGAATACCAATTTAAATGTATAATACCAAAGGTTAGGTATACATATAGGTACCATATAGTGATGAAGGTAATTTATGACAATTATATGTAAATATAAAACTTATTTAAAAATAAAACAAAATATATTAAAATACTGAAATATTTCACATATTTTGAAATATTTCATGAAATATTTCACGAAATATTTCATTTTTTTAAATTTCATGAAATTTTCAAACACTAATGACAACTCCCCTGAAAATAAGGATTTTACGTCACACGAGATGGAAGAAAAGTTAAGTGCAATCATAGGGACAAGGGGCTATGTGGTCGATTTGGTCTGGTGCAATTAATGGCCGCGGAGTACTTTTTTAAACAAAGGGTATTGCTTAAAATTAATAAAATTAATGAAATCAATTTTTCAGCTAACCACCATTATTAATAGGTATTCAGTAATACATTTGCGTATAGGATAGCACACTTGCGCACTCATGTTTATTACGCGCATACCAAAATGGCCCTCAATTATGCATACTACCACACACATTATATTGCCTACACTGAGCTCATTAAAAAAGTCAAGTCACAGCCATCTTGAGAGCAAATAATAAAAATTAGAATTTTGTTCAACTATAACACCCTATTGCCCAAAGACCAGGCCATCCCGATCGTTTGTATATACTCAAAAAACCAACAACAACACAGACAGTACAAAGTGAATTGATTCACTAAAAAACTTACAATAAAACACTAATTATAATATGATGTGCTTACTATTATTAATCTGCTCAAACATTATAATATTTTCGCTGACTTACGGTAGATAAATTAAAAATTGTCTGCTAAATATTTAAAAAAAATTGTTGGAATAGTATGAGTGAGTATGACACACTATACGCTAATGTTTGGCGTTTGGCTTTCTTGTCTGCAGAGATCAAATGTATAAAATGCAAGTGGATGTAAAATTAGTTTAGTTACACTAGTCACTAATACACTATATTAAAATTGAGGTCGTAAATATTAGGTGGTAGTAACAGTATCAATGCAATAATCAATGTATCTCTAATTTTAATTAATAATGTAGGTATAACCATAAAGACCATTACATTATTCTTTTATACCATAATAGTTGAAATAATAATATTCATTCATTTATATAGGTAGATCATTCTACATTATAATTATATCATGCGTTAATAATTTTCCAAGTTATAATTTGTACTATCTACTGATTATTTAATTTTTTTTTTTTGTTGTTGTTCGTGTAACTAACCTACAGTAAAGCATAATAGATTGTACTAAGCCAATTATCAATTCGTACAAGAGTTGGCTCTTGTACGAATTGATAATTGGCTTAGTAAGGTAAAAAAAAATGTTCGTAGACCACATCATATCATTCTCGCATGTTTATAAATTGCAAACGTACTATTTAAAATTTCCTACCCACGTGATTCCTTGAAGATATAATCATAGATATATTTTGTATCAATGATGACTGAAAAATATATAACCTGTGTGGTTACAAATTTGCTTCCACGTCTATATAATATTAAAACCACCACACAAACAATAGTAAGTCAATTCATAAGTCTGACGATTTTGGCAGGAGTGAAGAAAACATGCTGTTGCTGGGCACAGACGCAAACGGCAAGAACGAGATCCGAACAGTGCGGACGATGGATATCAGGACGATGGTGTCTGTCACGCTGAGCCTACTGACAGACGATGACCAGCACATCATGCGACGTTGGCGGGATGCCGACATCGTGGCCATGGTCAATAACATGGGTGGCATGTCTGAAGCGCGGTTCATGGCCATCGTGGCCGAGGTGACCCGTCTTCTCGGCGCGGCCACTGGTGCCCGCGCTGTACACCGCTGGTACACCGGCCGGATGTTACCGTCGTCCAGCGACACAGACGACGGTTTCTCCGTGACCCTGATGGACATTGGCGCCGCGGCCGACGACCGTGTGTACGGCGGCCTTTCCTACTCACTGATAGCTTGTTTAGACCATCCGGTATCCGCTTCAGGTTGGACGTTTTCGGGCCTGGACGGACGTCTCGACCTGGCCCAGCATCCCACACCCGAATATGTCCGGCGCCACCGCCACTGCCCCTGCGACCTCCTGAAGGGCGGAAACGACAGCCACCGCAAGGACTACGACCATGACGAAGACGACGATTACGACAATCTTCCGCCCAGCACGACCGTGTCCGAAGACCAAGTGCCGTTCGTAACAGACGTTTTAAGTATGCAATATCATACTATAATAATATTATGATATTAAAAAAATGTATAGACATGGGTCCCCGGATTCTATGAGCCCTCGAACTTATAAAGCTCAAAGTTCAATCTGTTGATATTCGGGGAAATTGAGTTTGAATTTAAACATCTCGATAGTTCAAGCGAAATATTATTGTTCAAAAGTTTTAAGAAACTAGTATCACATTCATTTCAAAAAAATTAAGTTCGAGTTCATAAAAATTAAAATTCAACTGATCCCTTATAATAAAATCTCAACAAAAACCCTTCGTAAACTACGTGTAAAAATTGTTAATTAAAAAAAACATAAGATCTTTAAGCACTATAAAGATGTGATATCATGAATAAATTCTAAGTATATTGAATTTAAGAAAACTTATTGTGTTTCAATAATTTATTTACTTGGCGAGGAATTATTTCTTAAAAGAAACAAAGTGTGATGAACAAAATAATTAAATAGCGAATGACTATTAAAATATCACTTATTATTATTTTAAAAATATTATTATTAATATTTATATACTATTCTAAATAATTCCTGGCCAATTAAATACATTATTGAAATATAATAACTTTACTTAAATTCAATATACTTAGCATTTATTCATGAAATCACATCTTTATAGTGTTTAAAGATTTCATATTTTTTTTACGTAGTTTATGAAGAGTTTTTGTTGAGATATCACTAATTCTTATCATCAATGCGAATAATGATAATATATCTATATTTTTATCTATATATTACATATAGATATACATATAGTATATTGTATAAAGTACGGCGCACGGTCTTAGAATATACGGTACGGTACGGCGTAAAGTACGGACAACAATATTGTTTGTGTAAATACTGGGTAAATATCGAGTATTTAAACAATGATCTAGGTATAAGAACGGTAATCTTTTTTATAGTACAGTAATTTTGTCATATTTTCCCCGATGACTAGATAACAAACATTATTTAGCAACGCTGTTGCTGCGACGACGGCTACCGGGATTCTGAATTTAATATAAATTTCTATTAAAAAGTTCAAACTTTTTCATTTATAACTTAATTTCTAAAAGTACGACTTTTATGATTTTTACAAAAGCATTCTACACAATATTTCTGATGTTTTGGAGTTTACTAAGAGTTAATTGATGCATTAGAATATTAGTTATGTCGTATAACAAATTTACCCGTATTTTACACAGTTTAAATAGGCAACTCCTGCTTCGATATAATATACACACGGTCGTAGTTATTTTTTTTTTTTACTTAACTCGTTCCACGACCGTGGCGCTGCAGGATACTATATTTCCCTTACACACGGCATTTTCTGTTATATAATATAAGTCACGATCAAGTCTATTATATTGACGTTTGATGAATATTATTATTATTATTATTGTTCTGTGTATAGTTCACGTATGCGATCGGATTATCCAGGCGGAGGGCCTGATGAACACAATGGATGAGATAGACGACGGCGACTGTGGCAGCAACTGGCGCCGTGGTGCGGAAGCGGTGAAGGTGGCCGTGACTGAGGGCCACGTGAACGTGGCCAGCCCCGCAGACACATTTCGTTCGATCAGCCGGCTGCTTGAGAACCGCATGGCCGGCACTTTGGGCGCGCTATTGTCCGTCTTGTTCCGGTCATTCTCACTGACATTTACCAAGTACTCATGCCGTACAACCCTCGGACCGGCCATGTGGGTAGACGGTCTACGCCATGGCGTGGCTTCCATTGAGACATACGGCATGCGTCAACTCGGCGACAGGACCATGTTGGATGCACTAGTTCCGGCCGTCCGTGGTATGGAGAAAGTCTTGTGCAAGTCTAAAAACCCGGTAAGCCCCTTTGAGTAACCATAAAACGGATATCATAATAAGTGATAACTGTTATAGACTTGTAGGCGACTTTGCTTTTAGAAGCCACGGTCAATGAACGACAATGAGGAATAATAATATGTTAAATGTAAAAAATTAAAAATATTATTACTCGGTAATGCCCCCATTGGTAGCTGACTTGAATTCAAATTAGTTAAAATAGAAATGACATAATTTTCGTAATAAGTTCATCGTGCACTATATACTCGCTTCAAGGTATTTTTCGATTAATTACGTAAAGAATGCGATTTTTGTCATTCGTACCGATGGAGCAAGCGATGCGATAAGTAACTAAAGTGCGACTAAAATATCAAATTATAAGTTGAGTATTGCCGTATTGGTTTCCACATTTCCAGCATATTTCATATTTTCCTGTAATTAACACTGAAAATATGTCCTGCTGTCTTATAGCTTGCTTGAAAAATGAAAACGAAAATATTGTAAAATCGCTGACATAAATACCCGATCCTGTTATTTCTTTATTTTTGTTGTTTTGTTTAATATTACAGTTTTATTATACATATCTTAGTGGCTTAGTGTTAATGAAACTCACAATTCTTATGTTTTTTTTAATCAATTAGAAATTTAAATCAGGATTATTACTTATTAGTTATTATCAATTAAAATTTAGAACGACTCAAATAAACGTCCTCCAAATGTATATAAGCTATACATAAATAACTATTTTTTTTAAGAGTGATATGGTAAATATATAAACTATAAAGCATAAACATTAACAATGAAAAGTAAAATCGTTAGATGTTAAATCTTTTCTTTTCGGTATTATTATAATATTTCACTATTCAGGGCGATAGGAGTGCACACTTTACAACAGGTGTTAATGTTTTAAATTTGTATTTGAAGGTTGTCTACATAGTTATTGTACCTATATAATATATTATAATAAGATCCAATAATGCATTAGTTATTTTATATTTCATTATAAAACGATATCGACAGAATCAATATATAGTAATATTGACACGACGAAAACCAACGACTCGGCAGCATAGTACATATTATTATTTAGGTAGGTACAATATAATATTATCACATCATACAGCCGTCTGTGTACTGTGTGTGTGTATTACATGTATATACTAACCTATTGCACGATACGCTCTATTATTTTCACTGCAATAATTTCTTATATTATTATCGCGTTGGCGTTGTCGGGAAAATTCCAACAGCATATTATCGACATACGTGTACCTCGCTGCAGAGACCCAATGACACGTCCGATGGCGTCTGCAGTTATGCGACTGTGCGGTCGTTATCGTCGCTTTGGATTGCGTCTATCCCGAGGTCCGGTTATAGTGTAGGAGGGCAATTCAACGAGTTAATGGTTATTGAAAACGTCGAAATAATTATTTTGGTCGTTACAAACGTAACATGACATTGACGAAATGTCGGGTTCTTACGTTTCACATCGGTCTTCGATTATCAAATGATAAACCGATGATTAAGGATTATATTATTATAATATTTACCTATAATTTATATGTAGGTATAATTTAAAATTCATACATTTAAATAAATATATACCATCATTGAGTTTGACAAGTATATTCTATAGTTAACAAGTGTCAGTATAATGTAAGACAATTAATGTATAATATTAAATTTTAAAATCATAAAAAATTAAGCTAAACAAAATTAATCTTTAACAATGTTTGAATTTGTAATCACGGATTAGGTACGAAATTAATTAATTAATTAAATAAATTTCTTCAATAAATTTTTTTCAAGCAAATTACATTTTAATCTAACTAATAAATCATCTTATCGTTTTTTATGTTCACTGCCAAACGATTAGGCATGTGCCAACCGAGTTGGTCCAACCCTGACGTTTTTACCCAGATAGAAAATAATAATATGTCACCTCCTTACAAAAGTCCCTTGACCAATTTCTTCGCTGTATGATTAACATGGATTGCCTTTACAAAACACACAGATTTACCTACTGAAGAGAGCGGTTAGAGAAGCGGACGATGGATGCAAACTGACCGAGCACATGGTCCATCAATCGGAGAAGCATGACAATGGTGACGGTGACGTACGGTCTTATAGTTTCGACGCAGGCGCATACGGAGTGAAAATCGTGTTCGCAGCGATACTGGAAAAGTTCACCGAACGATCGGCTGCAGCGATGGCGACGGGGAAAAAAAGTATATGACGGACCCCGATGTGATATTTTTTACCGACGATTGATATCAAATTATATGATAATTATAATTATATTCTATTGTGTTGTTTTCGCAAAAAGTGTGTGTAGAAATAACATTGCATCGATAATGTCGAAACGGACGTGCCGAATTATAGACGTAGGTACGTCGTGATCCCATCGCGGTACCGTTTTTCCAACAGTGTCCGATGATAACAACAGCTCCCGCACTTCGAGAGAGTTGAGCAACTCATTTCTCGTTTTTCCGGTATGATTGTCAAACCAAACTCTAGGAAACGTGTTAGACCCATTCGAATCATCGGGTTACACGCTTGGGATACTAGGGGGATGCTTGTAAAAAGAGTCACTGCGAGGAAAACCAAAATACAACAACACGTCATTAATGTTTTCAAATTTCATATAATTTATTTATTCATTTTTCCTAGTCGATTATATTACCTTATACAATATTATACTAATTACGTTATTAATTTAAACTTAATTCATTCATAAGATGGGTAACTTCAAACAACATTTCGCCGAGGCGCGCGACGAAAACGCTTCTCAAGGGCCTTACATATTAAAGAACAACACCGTTTCACACAGCATGTAGTAATAAGACAAAACCAAATTTCAATATTACCTATTGTAAAAAAAAAACTAATTACAATATTAGAACGTATCGATAAAATTAGGTTATTGCATAATGAACACACCGGTTTTACTAATGTAACTTGTTATTCATTTTTTAATCGTCTTTAAACGCATAGTTATACACATATACACGCACACTTATGCACACAAACACACACACACACTTTTACATAAAACAATTTAGTGTCGTATACTTGTATACAACATAATACATATATAACTATGATTTAGTTTACAGAAAAAAAAATATATTAAAGAAATCATAATAATTATCATACACAATTTTACTATTTATGAAGGGATTATTGGACAGTGGTGGTTAATATATTTA